CCCATCCTCCCCAGCCATGGCATGGGAATTGCAGTCCAGGATCCCATCATCCCCTGAGCCACAGCATGGGAATTGCAGTCCAGGTCCCCATCATCATCCCCAACCATGACATGGGAACTGGAGTCCAAGGACTCTGGAAAGGATCGGGCGGGGATCAGAGCTGTGGCTTTCCCAGAGGTTGCCCACTCTGAGCATGTGTGAGAAGGAAGCATGCTGGGAGTTGTAGTTTAAGAACATCTGGGGGCCGGAGATGCCCCTCCTGAGACTTGTAGGTGGGACTTCGGAAATGGACAATGAAAGTGTTTGCAACTTTGCTCTAGAAGGGGAAGCTGGATCTCAATCAATTAATCAATCAACCAAGGAAGGGACCTTGGAGGTCTTCTAGTCCGACTCCTCAAGCAGGAGACCCTAGACCATTTCAGACAAGTGGCTGTCCAATCTCTTCTTAAAAGCCTCCATTGATGGAGCACCTACAACTTCTGGTGGCAAGAAGTTCCACTGCTTAACTATTCTCATTGTCCAAAAATGTCTTCTTAGTTCTATGTTGGATCTTTCTTTGATAAGCTTTCATTTATTACCGGTACTTAATAATAATAGAGTTGGACGAGACTTTTGAGGTCTTCTAGTCCAACCCCCTGATCAAGCAGGAGATCGTATACCATTTCAGAATGGTGGTTGTCCAACCTTTTCTTAAAAACTTCCAATGTTGGAGCATTTACAACTTCTGGTGGCAAGTTGTTCCACTGGTTAATTGTTCTCACTGTCAGGAAATTCCTCCTTAGTTCTAAAGTTGCTTCTCTCCTTGATGAGTTTCCACCCTTTGCTTCTTGTCCTGCCTTCTGGTGCTTTGGAGAATAGCTTGACTCCCTCTTCTTTGGGGCAGCCCCTCAAATATTGTAAGACTGCGATCATGCCACCCCTAGTCCTTCTTTTCTCAAGAATGGCCAAACCCAATTCCTGCAACTGTTCATATGCTGTTATGGCCCGCCAGTGGCTTGCGCGGATTGTGGCTGATCCCAACGAAGAGGAGACTGGTGGGTTGCGCCAGCAGCCGGCGCAGCCAGCGCTTGTGTCGGACAGCGAGGAGGCTGAAGAGGATGTGGTGCCAGAGGCAGAGACTCAGCCAGGGCCTTCAGAACCTCCAGAGGCTCCTTCAAGTGGAGAGAGCGAAGTGGAGGAGCCTCTCCTCAATGCTCAAGCACGCAGGGCTGCCAAAAGGCAGGAGTGGCTACTCAGGAGGAGGAGGTCTCCTCCAGAGTAAGGCTTAAGGATAATTGGCCACTCCCTTAGCCTATTTAAGTCGCACGCCTTTAGTAAGTTTCTTGCTGGAAACAACTTGTAATTATCATCAGAGCATTGTTGGAAAAGTCTTATCGTATCTTGTTTTCTGGGCTGGTTGCCAACCTTTGCCGGACTTTGGTTTATTCTTGCTACTTAATAAATTTGATAAGGACTGCTGGTATGTATCAATATCCTCAGAAATCCGGAGCTGGAGCAGAACATATGCTTTTGTTTCCAGCCCTTGAATCATCCTTAGTTGCTCTTCCTTGCACTTTTTCCAAAGTCTCAACATCTTTATTTTGTAACGTAGGGAGCAAAACTGGATGCAGTATTCCAGGTGTGGCCTTACAAAGCCTTTATAAAGCAGTACTAATACTTCACGTGATCTGGGTCCAGTTGGCAGAAAACCCCCCAATTTAGGTGTCCTTCCAAGCCCCCCAACCAGATACGGTCACCCCTAGTACGTTGCTAGGAGAGAAGCTGCCAGAACCGTGAGTGTTCCTACCAGAGACTGTCCCAGCAACCCGGATCTGAAAAATTTCCATTTTTCCTTATTTGTGTTTAAAGGACTATGAGATGCCCGAAAACGCTTTCTCCAAGTCTGACGGTGCTTCCGATATTGAGCCTGATACCCAGGAAATGGTTCGTGCCCAGAACAAGAAAAAGAAAAAATCTGGAGGTTTTCAATCCATGGGTAAGTTAAGAAGTTCTGAAGTGGATGTTTTAAGGGGAGCTATAGCTTTTTCTTTATTATTTAGCTTATGGCAACGACAGAGGTCACGCAGTCACTGATATACAAATTTACTGTAAATAGAGAGTCAGCAAATTAGACTTAAGACCGTTGTTCAGAGTTACGACCATTATATAGCAGCATTCCTATAATCAGAAGCTTGGCAACTGGGTCATATGTATGCCCTTTGCTGTGTCCCAAGGCTCAGCAATTCCCTTTCCTTAATTTCTTCTATCTTGGCAACTGCTTGTGTGCTAGGAAAGACCCAGAAAGTCCTTTGAGCTCCAAAAAAAAAAGAAGAAGAAGAAGAAGAAGAGAGATAATATCTCTAACCTTGTTTTTGTCCCTTTCCTAGGTCTCAGCTATCCGGTGTTCAAAGGAATTATGAAAAAAGGGTACAAAATACCCACACCCATCCAGAGGAAGGTGAGAACATGGGAATAGAATTAGAATTAGAATTAGAATTTAATAGAATTAGAATTTAATAGA